ACCTCCCAATGCCCTAATCAATATACAGTTGGGGACTCAATCTATCCTTAAATCCTCTATAAAATTTAGCTTGCACAACCTCACATCTATAAATTTCACATTTCCAAAACATCCTCTATTCCTTTTAGCCCACACAAAGTAAATAAAAGCTTCTAAACAAACCTAAAAGAGTGGCGAGCCAACTTACCTCGCGGATGAGTACACACCCAGTTCACCTCATCCGTCCAGTCTAACTCCCGACGATAAACACCACACATAGCCAAGATAATGTCCCCAACATAAATCGAAAAGGGGTAGCCAAAGAAATATGAGCACGAGACTCGTCAATATTATTGCAAAGGACACACCCACCAGCCACATGCATCCCCATACAGAGGAGCTTGTCGTGAGTAGGCAATCTGTCTAGCTATGCCATTCACATGATGATAGCATGCCTCAGAATGTGCATTGGGAACAAAACTAATCGATGCCATGACCTTCACCCTCTTAACCCTGAGCTTAATCCAAATCTACCGCATACCACAATCGTCTAGGCGATTATCCAAATCACTAAAAGCAGTGACAGCCTCCCCTTGAAGGAAAAGATTTTCCTTAAGCTCCAGTTGACCACTCCTCTGGGCTTGAAACTCCATGCATCATCATCCTTCATAATATAGGCTCTAACCCAAGCAACCCACAAGGATCCTATAACACTGAATAAAGCACGTTTTGTTCCAGCAAGCCAAATCTTTCAACCCCAAGCCTCTTTCTCACTTAAGGGTGCAAATATGATTCCTTCAACCTTATCCCTCATTCCAGCCTCGTCATTTCTCTCCAAAGAATATCATGTAAAGTTGATTAACCTAATTCACCACATCTTTTGGGAGAAAAGTTGACACCAAAAGTCTTTTATTAGCCTAATGCTCCAATCTAGCCTTCACATTCACAATCAGACTTCGACAATCTTTCTCCGAGAACATCCTTGTAACAAGGGGACTCCAAGATATCGAATCAGAAGACATCATTTCTTAAGCCCCAACCTCCCCACAATGTTATCAAGAGCCTCGTTAGGCACCCTCGAAGTATAAATCTCACACTTGGCTGGATTAAGCCTTAAACCCTACCAAGTATAAAAGCACTATGACACACTTTGGATTCCCATCATCGAGTTTGCAAATCCCTTAGAGAAAATAAGGAGATCATATGCAAAACATAGGTGAGTCAAAGCAACATTCTTGTATTTCAGGTGAAACCAAAAGTTATCATTCTTTGTTGTCAAATCTAAGATCTTGGAGGGAACGTTCAAATCAAGTACAAAGAGATACAAGGACAGAGGATCCCCTACCTAACTCCTCTGACACCTTCAAAAAAGCCCACCAAAGAACCATTAAAAGCAACCGAAAAGCGTGGGGAAGTGAGGCAAGCCCGAATCCAACCATAAAATTTATCAAGTTCTATAACTTTCAAAACATCCAACAAAAATCGCCAATCAAGGCTATCAAATGATACTTTCACATTTAATAACTTGCAATCAAGTACCTAAACTTTAGGACTTTTCGAATTCTACCACTAAAATTTACCAAACTTAAAATTTGGTTCCAACCAACTTCCCAACTTAAAAATTCCAGCATTTCAAATGTTAAAATTCAACATTGAACCCTCCAATTTATGCAATAATATGCCACAATTCTCAACTTGTAAAATAGCACTTTTTCTAATTCAAGCTTCCAAATTGATCTCCAAGTCACATAGAACACATCTAATATCAATTCTAGATTATAGGAAAATTTTCAATATTTTCCCTAATTTTCGTTGAATGGTCGAATATTCCAAGAACCATAAAACTTTATTTCCATTCAATTTCAAGCACGAATTCAACTTCCTTATACCAAATTCATGCCATTCTAACCTTTACAACATCAAATGAAATCAAAATTAATCTAACCTCAATAAACTTCAACTTGGCCAAATCTAATATAAGACTTTACACATGATTTTAATCATCACATAAGCCTTAGAATTAATCTCCAACATCAAGAACATAAAAAATCTTTCATCAAATCCTCAAAATCCATAAACCCTAATCACCAAATCTCAACATTCAAGCATGTTTAGCATGAATTTCTTATACCAAATGATAGATAATTTAATGGAGAACATTTTTCTATTTCATAACATAATCCAAAATCCTACTAAAATAGTTCAAAAATGACAATGAAATTTGTTTCTCACCTTGTAGGGGTTTCACGGCAGCAAGCTGATGGAGAAGAAGAACTCTTGATTTTTCTAGTAATTTTCCTAATACACATGGTAATTTAAACTAATTTAATTGAACTTAAAATTCAATTAATGAGAAATTTCTTTTTTTTTTCCATTAATGAATATTAAAAATTACCAAATGTCATTGTCATATTCTCCATTTAAATATTCTTTAGTCAAAGATGAAAAAATTTGGCTTTGACTTTTTTACTTTTCCCATAAAACTTTTAAAAATTATATTTTAGTCACTAAAATTTCACTGTTCGGCCAAATCTAAAAAATTACATTGATCTCTGTTAATTTTATCTTATCTAAAATATGGAAATAATATTTCCAAACCTTATCTATTATTATTCAATTTTTTTTAAAATTCTGATTCGATCCGATTACCCGCTTTCTATATCAAACTTTATCGCTTTATAACTTTTAATACAAATCTCGTATCAAAAATCTGATTACCACGAAAGTTTTTGTTTTAGGCAAATCTGTTCATTTACATGCTAAAATATATATTTTTATAAAATTATAATTTTAGTCCCTAAACTTTTACAAAATTTATACTTTAACCACCAAATTTTCAAAACTTACAATTTAGTCACTAACCAAAATTTGGGGTGTTACACAGATTTTCTGGCATACCCTTTCACCAATTCTTCGATAAGCAAAGTATTATCGACAATACTCCATCCCTTAGCAAAAGCCGATTGATTTGGAGCGATCATATCAGAGGAGAAGCCAGCTAGTCGATTAACCAATATTCTTGTAATAACTCGATATACCAAATTACAACAAGAAATTAATCTAAACTTCTCCATACTACTCGCATTAATAGTCTTAGGGACAATAACCATCATCGTGACATTGAAAGCAAGGAGGGACGAGGACTCAAAGAAAAAAACGAATAGCCGAGACAAAATCATTCCCAACAGTCCCCCAAGCCTTTACATCACCCTGCTGGAAAATTGCAGCCTTAATATCCTCAGTAGCTCCATCAGGCGAGGAATAATCAATGATGTCCCTGAGCAGATTAGTATCACACTGGTCCAAGACTCTCGGACATGGTTCAAAAACTCTGGATGGAGAGCCCAAGAATAATAGAGAACTTTGTTTTGTATTACTTTTTAAAATAAAACTGACAATGTGATTTTGAATTTTTAGTTGATCAAATGCAATTGTAGCAGCAACATTCCTTTTATCATTATTTAGGCTATCAACTTGCCTTGAGTTGCATGTATAATATACTGTACTAGTATGTACAGGTAAGTTTATATTTGATGTATTGATAATGTAATTTTTGCATTATCAATAAATATAAAATTAATCATTTTAAAATATAACTGCGAGTTTATATTATAAATATCAAGTGCCGCTTGCTCTCTTTTTCTTCTTTGTTTATTGGCGGTGACATATATTTTGGTATTGGTAGTATTTTTATTTTATTTTTATCTTTTATATCGTATTTTTTTTATTTTTTTAGTTTCTAATAACTTTACTTTTATGATTTTTTTATGACACATTTTCTTTTGTATTTATGTCACATTCTCAGTCTTTTTTATCGATCATTTGATCGTTCTTTTCATTTAATTTTCTCAGTGTTAGATTTGACATCGTTTCGATTGATCAAGATAATGTTTATTTGTTATCTTATCTATCTCCCTTGTTTTAGACCCTCAGATTGAATTTGGATACACGATTTACATTTAGAGATACTTTTCTCGCGATGCTCGATTTTGATTTACGAATGATGATAGTCTTTCAATAATTTAATCCTCTACATAGATTTATTTGTCAATACAATCAAATCTATTCGAATCTATCTTTTGTTCGAGTTTTTTAGATTTTTTTTTGAAAATTTTCTTGTATGATATTTATATAATCTTAAATAACTAGTTTATTGTGTCAATAATTATAATAATATATCCTAATTATATATTTAATTTACATTTGTGGTTACAAATCTTTATTATAATATTAAATATTTTCTTTTTTCGATAAAATTATCTGATTCTATTTACATAAAAATTAATATAAATATCATGTGTGAACCCATTAAACAATTTACACGATGAAATTATTTTTTTAATAATCTAGAGTGATTTTAAGTAGTAGTATTTATTCTAAAGATTTTCACCTATTTAACAATAATCAATCAAATACCTTATAATTGTTCGAATCTATTAACTCTAAAAATAATAATTATTTTTTTAACGATAAAAGCACATTTCTTTAATTCAGATTAGTGAAGCCCAAATCGTTCACCGGGAAAAGTTTGAGTTGTAACAAAAATTAAAGTTTTGAGTAGCAACACTGTCGAAATAAAACTATTACGACCCAAACTCCTTAAAACGACCTCGTAAAGATGCCTAATTCAGTAACGAGGTGTACGTGTATGCCAGAGCACCAGTATCGCGTGGGTCATAAACATTCCAAATTGAGGCCGGGCAGTGATGTCATGTCCCCGCTTCCTCCACTTTTTCCCATGTAAGTTCTCCCTGATTGGTCCTCCCCAACCAACACCCAGAAAACAAAAGAACACCTACAAGAGAGGCTACCTTCTTCCTCTCCGAGTCTCTTCGTCTTGTCCTAACAAGAGAGAGAGAGAGAGCTTGTAATCGGCCATGGATTTCTCCGAAGAATGTGAAAACTTCGTTTACGTTGCCAAGCTCGCTGAACAAGCCGAACGATTTGATTGGTCCTCCCCAACCAACACCCAGAAAACAAAAGAACACCTACAAGAGAGGCTACCTTCTTCCTCTCCGAGTCTCTTCGTCTTGTCCTAACAAGAGAGAGAGAGAGAGCTTGTAATCGGCCATGGATTTCTCCGAAGAATGTGAAAACTTCGTTTACGTTGCCAAGCTCGCTGAACAAGCCGAACGATTTGATGGTCCGATCTAACCAACAAGGTCACAACCTTTGGTTCTTCTCTTCTTTCAACATTTTAAAATCTTGGATTTTTTTTGTGTTCTAGATATGGTGACTTCTATGAAAAAACTAGCGGAGCTTGATGTGGAACTGACCGTAGAAGAACGGAACCTGCTCTCTGTCGGGTACAAAAACGTGATCGGTGCTCGAAGGGCCTCGTGGAGGATCTTGTCTTCGATCGAGCAAAGGAAGAGAGCAAAGGGAGTGAGCAGAATGTTAAGAAAATCAAAGGGTACAGACAGATAGTGGAATTGGAGTTGTCCGATATCTGTAAAGATATTATGGGCGTGATCAACGATCATCTCATCCCTTCTTGCTCCGGTGGAGAGTCTACTGTGTTCTACTATTAAAATGTGAGTACTCTTTGGGGTTTTCTCTGTTGATTGATTGTAATTAGTTTTTGGTTTTTTTGGGGTTTATTTGGTTGCAGGAAAGGGGGTTATTACAGGTACATGGCGGAATTCAAGACGGATGATGAGAGGAAAGAGGCCGCCGATCAGTCCCTGAAAGCATATCAGGCAAGTTCAACTATATTGAAATTGGTTTAAATTTGATCTATGAAATGTTGAGCATGTACATCATTTGCTATTATTTAATTATGACAATTGCGATGGTATTGCTTGATCCCAATAATTTGATGACTTTTCGAATGTCAGTTTGCTCATCATGCCAAACATTTTTTTGGAGCTTATGGGTATTAGTTGCTTGCAGTCTGCGACAAGCACATCAGAAGCTGAGTTGCCTCCTACACATCCAATCCGGTTGGTTTTGGCCTTGAACTTCTCTGTGTTCTATTATGAAATTATGAACTCTCCTGAAAGGTAATCTGCTATGTCAACGTTCTGGTTGAGCTGCTGCTGGATAATATTGGAAAACCAGCCATGTCACATTGCGAAGCTTGTGAAGCAGGGCGTGTCACCTTGCTAAGCAGGCTTTTGATGAAGCTATATCGGAGTTGGATACTTTAAGCGAGGAGTCATACAAAGATAGCACATTGATTATGCAGCTTTTAAGGGACAACCTTACTTTATGGACTTCTGACATCCCAGAGGACGGAGGTAACTTCCTAGATTATGCACTTATGATTTACATTATGCATTTGTTTCACCCCGTCTCTGGTATGGTCTTCATTAACAGTGTCGCCTGTTTGTTTCATCACAGGAGAGGTCGCAAAGCTTGGTGCAGGAGATGAATGAAGCTAAACCAAGTCGTACGTCTGAAAAAGTTGAAGTTAAACCAGTTTTGAAAAGACATTCAGCTGCTTTCACCTTTTTCTAGTTTGGATTGTGCAGTGTCAATGTCCTTTTTTTCCTCTACCTTCTTCCCTCTTTGATCAAATAAGAACCATTTTCAGAATGTCTTCGTTGTAGCTTTGTTCATTGAAATTCCCAACACATTCACATAACTATATTCGAACAATCCGTGAAAAAGATATTTCCCAAATCGAAATAGTCACTAGTAAACCTATAGAGAAAAGAGGTACCATGGAAACAATCGTCAAAGCCATCTTCTTCCTTTGCATCTTGCTGTAACCTTTGACTCTACGATTTTTCTGCATGATTAGCAAGTGCATCGGTTTCTAAGTTAATGTTTTCTTGAAGCATTTTAAAGGCAAATTCTTCAATAGTTACCCTAAAACAAAGGGAAAATATATGCCAAATTCCTGAATAACAACTTCAGAATCCACCAAGTCTTGGAAATATTTCAAAATTCATTTCTTTCTATAGAAACTTTTTATATGGAATTTATGAAATACCTTGAAAAATAATTAATAAATAATTTGTAAATTTTATATAAAACGGACATAACTATTATATATTTTTAACAAGTTATTACATTTAATTCAAAGGCGGTGGGTGAAAGCAGTGCATTAAGTAATTTTTCTAGATAAATATAATTGAGGTCTGAATTTGGCTTAAAAGTTCTGTTTAATACTTAGTCTCTTGGTACAAATTAATACTTATGTTTGTTGTCCGATTAAGTTCTTAAATTTAATTTCATGGTTTAATAATTATTAGTATTCGAATCCACGAACTCTAAAAATAATAATTATTATTTAATCATAAAAGCACAATTCTTTAATTCAGATTAGTGAAGCCCAAATCGTTCACTGGGAAAAGTTTGAGTTGTAACAAATATTAAAGTTTTGAGTAGCAACACTCTAAAAATAAAACTATTACGACCCAAACTACTTAAAACGACCTCGTAAAAATAGTAACGAGGTGTACGTGTGTACCACAGCACCAATATCGCGTGGGTCAAGACATTCCAAATTGAGGCCGGGCAGTGATGTCATGTCCCCGCTTCCTCAACCTTTTTCCATCTAAGTTCTCCCTGACTGGTCCTCCCCAACCAACACCCAGAAAACAAAAGAAAACCTAAAAGAGAGGCTACCTTCTTGCTATCCGAGTCTCTTCGTCTTGTCCTAACAAGAGAGAGAGAGAGCTTGTAATCGGCAATGGATTTCTCCAAAGAACGTGAAAACTTCGTTTACGTTGCCAAGCTCGCTGAACAAGCCGAACGATTTGATGGTTCGATCTAACCAACAAGGTCACAAACTTTGGTTCTTCTCTTCTTTCAACATTTTAAACTATTGGATTTTTTTTTGTGTTCCAGATATGGTGACTGCTATGAAAAAACTAGCGGAGCTTGATGTGGAACTGACCGTAGAAGAACGGAACCTGCTCTCTGTCGGGTACAAAAACGTGATCGGTGCTCGAAGGGCCTCGTGGAGGATCTTGTCTTCGATCGAGCAAAAGGAAGAGAGCAAAGGGAGTGAGCAAAATGTTAAGAAAATCAAAGGGTACAGACAGATAGTGGAATTGGAGTTGTCCGATATCTGTAAAGATATTATGGGCGTGATCAACGAGCATCTCATCCCTTCTTGCTCCGGTGGAGAGTCTACTGTGTTCTACTATAAAATGTGAGTACTCTTTGGGGTTTTTTCTGTTGATTGATTGTAATTGGTTTTTGTTTTTTTTGGGGTTTATTTGGTTGCAGGAAAGGGGATTATTACAGGTATATGGCGGAATTCAAGACGGATGATGAGAGGAAAGAGGCCGCCGATCAGTCCCTGAAAGCATATCAGGCAAGTTCAACTATATTGAAATTGGTTTAAATTTGATCTATGAAATGTTGAGCATGTACATCGTTTGCTATTATTTAATTATGACAATTGCGATGGTATTCCAATAATTTGAAGACTTTTCGAATGTCATTTTGCTCATCATGCCAAACATTTTTTTGGAGCTTATGGGTATTAGTTGCTTGCAGTCTGCAACAAATACATCAGAAGCTGAGTTGCCTCCTACACATCCAATCCGGTTGGGTTTGGCCTTGAACTTCTCTGTGTTCTATTATGAAATTATGAACTCTCCTGAAAGGTAATCTGCTATGTCATAACGTTCTGGTTGAGCTGCTGCTGGATAATATTGGAAAGCCAGCCATGTTACATTGTGAAACTTGTGAAGCAGGGCGTGTCACCTTGCTAAGCAAGCTTTTGATGAAGCTATATCGGAGTTGGATACTTTAAGCGAGGAGTGATACAAAGATAGCACATTGATTATGCAGCTTTTAAGGGACAACCTTACTTTATGGACTTCTGACATCCCAGAGGACGGAGGTAACTTCCTAGATTATGCACTTATGATTACATTATGCATTTGTTTCACCTTGTCTCTGGTATGGTCTTCATTAACAGTGTCGCCTGTTTGTTTCATCACAGGAGAGGTTGCAAAGCTTGGTACCGGAGATGAATGAAGCTGTGTGTTTATGTATTTTAGTTGTTATGTTACAGTTGCTTGGGATCTGTATCTTGAAACCAAGTCGTACGTCTGAAAAAGTTGAAGTTAAACCAGTTTTGAAAAGACATTCAGCTGCTTTCACCTTTTTCTAGTTTGGATTGTGCAGTGTCAATGTCCTTTTTTTCCTCTACCTTCTTCCCTCTTTGATCAAATAAGAACCATTTTCAGAATGTCTTCGTTTGTATAGCTTATGTTTGTTGTCCAATTAAGTTCTTAAATTTAATTTCATGGTTTAATTTGAATTATATTAAATTTAGATCCATTCGAATGTGACGATTTTAAACGAATACAAATAATTTTAGATTTTTATAAAATATAAATGTCTTTTTTAAATATAATAATTAAATTGACTAAAAAATTATATGCAGTGAATTGATCTAATAAGAAAGTTTAAATACTTAATTGGACCAAAAATACCTTCAGTATCAAATTGAATCAAAAAATAAAGTCTAAACAACAATTTAAATCAAGAAAGAAGTCACGTTCAGCTACCTAATTAAATAAAAATAAAGTTTAGATACTAAAATATATATTTAAAACAGTTCTTTTAATATTATCGTTTCTTAGAAGCCGTTGATATGGTACTGGATGAGAAGTTAAATCCAACGGCTGATACAAGTCCTCAAGAAGAGTTAAATGCATAAGACCATTAATTTTTCATATAAAAAGAAGTTGGGCATACAATACAAAGGTTTTCAGAAACCGCATTTCTTTATCTATTTCTTCAAACCCGCATTATAATGGCTATCAAATTCAGGACAGGAAGTTTCTATGGGAATTTATTATAATTATTTATAGTATTTGGTAAGGATTGATTCAATTTTTTTTGATTTTTTATAACACTAAACTAAGTTTGATATATAACGGCTTTTGTAGCGGTGTTTCTTTAAAAAAACGCCACGAATAATGTAACTTTAGTGTGGTTTTTGAATAAACGCTGCGATAGAATGTTAAAAGGTGACGTTTGTTGAAAGGCGCATTCGTACGTTTTGTTTTAAAACGCCACAATAAAAGCAATAGTTTGATACTTTAGTGGCATTTTTTATTTACAAACTTTAATATAATTACCCAAAACGCAAGCCTCTCTCGTTCATTCAGCTCTCAATTATTTCACCCAAATCTCCAAGCCCTAACCCCGCACAACCACCATAGCCCAGCCACCATCATCAGCGTAGCATCTCGCCGCCGTCGTACTCTTCCGGTCGTCAACTGTCAACCACCTGCAGATATGTTTTCTTGTCCATAGCACCCTACTTTCAATCGGCCATGTTGTTTTGCATGGGTTATGTTTTTAATTGTGAATCTTGGGGGGTTTTGTGAAACTAGTTTCTTTGTTAAATTTAGTCGATTTTATTTTTTTATTTTGAGGGTTTTTAATTGTTAATAGAAAAGTTAATGGCAAAATTCCATCTTCTTCAACCCTTTCTGCTCTATCCATTGCCGCTTGTTTACCAAATAAGCCAGTTTTGATTTTTCACATTGATGGGTTGAAACTTGAAAACATGATATTTGTATAACATTAATCACATGCATATGGGTCAACATAATTTGTTGTGGCCTCTAACTTGGAATATTGTTAAACACTTCTTTCTTTGGAAGAATAGGTAAGGTTGGAGCTTTTCTTGGTGGAGTTTCAGATAGAGTAGTTATTCTAATTGTCCATAATAGAGCTTGTGGAGTTGCATTTGTTGTTCTGTGCGTGTGTTGGAGAAGGGATATGTAATCTATTTGAGTTAAGGAAGCTGTAGCAATTCGTTTTCTCGGTTAGCAGTGAAGAGCTAGTTGAGTCTGTTTAGCCTACTGGTATGTCATGATGGAAAGTGGCTATCGAAATTCAGCCTTGCAAGATCTGCCGCTGTGTTGATTCGTTGAAAGTTTTGTTTCTGGTTGTGGGTCTTGAATCTCTCTGAGTTGAGTCTGTCGGATTGTCAGTCGTTGTAGAAAGTAGCTGATTCATGGTTTATCTTACTGCGTTTTTTGTGGTTCGTATCGATATCGCTCTGTTGGGTGTTTGTTTTGTTTGATCAATTGTATGTACTCTTTTCCTACAATTGGATGTAGTTCATTTCTTCCTTAATAAAATTTATTTCTGCCGAGCGAAAAAAAAAAACATTAAGAATATGTCCGACAATATTTTAAACTGAATCTTATAAAATCATATATTATGGCAACATGCAAATGAAAACTCTTACCATATTCCCAGTTTCTTTTTCATTTGGGTTAGTTCTTGTATGTCAGTTTGTGTTCATAATTCGAAAAGGAGTTTAAAGGGGAAGGTGGAGCAGGCGGTAGGCTTATGTAATAATTATCCCATACTCTCATATCCCCACCTTTATCCCTTTTAATCCTCATGCATGTGCTGTAGTCAAAGATTGTTTATACAATTTCTGGACCTCACATGACAAAAAAAAAATTGGATTGAATATTCTATAACTTCATTTTCTTGATGTAAGTTACAATGGGGGCTTAAACCGTGTGGATCCTTTTTACTTTCGTTTGCATGTTTGAAGGGTTACTGCTCTCAAATTTAGTCAAATGTAAACAAATTATTTCTTATGAAATCTCCTAATTAAATGATAAAATCAATATGCCCTAACACGTATACCTCTAGAATTAATTAAATCATTTGAGCTAAGTGTCGAGTTCAGATGTATAATATGAGGGATGTCCATATTTTAACTGTAAACCATATTTAATTTTTGGACATGTGATTTGTTAAATAAAGACGAAACCCGTCTATATATAGACTAAAGTACATCACATGAATGACAATATTAGTCAATAATGGCATTACCATTTACTTATAAAAATTTGTTGATTATTAGTAAATTTTGAAATGTTTAGATATGCTTAATTATTACAACGTTAATTTCATTGTACAGTCTAGGTGAATTTGAATGTTGACTCTAGGTGAATTTAAATGTCTTTGTGTTATTACTAATATGTGCTATAGACCTTTTCATATACTTCTCACATTATAATGTTATTTAATATATCAAATACAATCTAAAATTACAAAATATATTCACAATATTATATATATTTTTATTTTGTGAGTAAATATTGATGAGAGTATCAAAGAGTCAATAAATTGATGAGAAGAAAGAATTTGCAAACAATTGCAGTCAAAATATCAAATTGAGTAAAATGCAATGTTAAGAGTCTAAATAAAAAAGATAGTACATTTTTAGTAAAAAAAATTGAAGTTACGTATGTATTCTATAGTGGTATATGAATATGTGGTTTAATTTTGATAAAGGATGAATTGAAGAAATAAGGAAATTATGAAAAATTAAGGGACTAAACTGAAAAATAGAAAAAATTTTATTGAAAAGAGGAATTTAAAGTACATATGGATTCTTCTATGGTTTAGGAACATTTGGTTAAAAATAGACTTAAAATAAAAAAAGAATTAAAAGAATATTGAAATTAGTGACTAAATCGTAAAACTATCAAAATACATATTCAAATTTTTGATTTTTGTGTAAAGAAATTTTAAATTTTAAATTGGACTCGAAATAAAAAACCAAATTAATAATCCGAGTTGACTCAAATAACTCAAACCTGAAAAAAAAATTCGAATCAAGTTTTTCTCACCAATATCCGATAACGATATGCAATAATGAATTAAGGGGAGCCTTCGACATCTATTACACATCAACTCAATGGGGTCAGATTGCAAACTATGGCAACGAATCAAACATGAGAGAAGAAGCTGGGTCCAATTTTGATTAGTTTAGATGTTAGTCTACACTAAAAAAAATTATATTTTTATCGACTATGATGAAAGAGGCAAAGTTTATTGATTATATAATCTTTTTACCAATAATTTTAAGATATATCATATTCGATGAAACAAAATACTAGAGATAGAGCAAAGAAGAAAAGAAAGTTAAAGGATTATTTTTTTATAAAGGTAAAGATGATAACAATCTTATCGATCAAGATGAACAGGATGAGGATTAATGTCCTCAATAAAATCCAATCGCATCAACATCATCAAGCAACAACAGCAGTGATAGCAACAAAACAGAAAATACTAAAATACCTCTCACGAAAATTTAAAGATCTACAAGGGAAAGAAAAATACCATAAAAGATAATGATTATGAATTAAAAAGTTGTTAAATATGACAAAAAGCAAAAAAAAGTTATGGAATGGAAAAATCTCTCTCTTGAATTATAAAGTTTATGGAGTGTCTATTAACACTTCTAACATTTCATGTTCTCTTTTATGTGAATTATAAAGTTTATCGAATGATCATTCACACTTGAAACATTTCATATGTTCTTCCTCTGCCTTTTCCAAAACAAGTTCATTGGTCACTCTAATCTAAATTCTCAATTACTTGGCAGGAATCTTTTCGCGATGGAACTTCATTTGAGAAAACAAATTTAAATGAAAACAAGTGTGTAGAAAGCCTTACTATTATGGAATATTATTCTTGTTCTTTCTCGAGTTACATGCTCAGTCAATGCACTTGTTTAAGCTTAAAGACACAAGAACAATTTTGCGTTAATCAATTATGATTCAGATGCTGATGCTGGTGACTGTTTCGGTTTCGCATCCATATGGGTGGATTAATGAAATTGGATGATGGACACCTCATAGGTGGGTTGATTGTATCCTACTCGCATCCCCATCATCTCCCAATACCACATTTCTTCTAATTATATTTCAGTCCAAGATTTTATTAATCATTGATTCTTCCTACGCTACCATCCATTTAATTTAATCTTCTTATTGATTCTTTTGTTAATAAACTTTTTAAAATAATCTTTAGTAACGGTAGAAGACTTGAAAATTCTTTGAAGTCCAGCCTGTATCTACAATATTAGTCTATAAGCATAATATACAATTTTCTAATCTTTTGTTGAAACTTCTTTACGCAAAAGATAAAAATAAAATAAAAGAGAAAGAGAGAATAGATCAATAAGGTTGGACACCTGAGCAACTTATTCGCCTCCGCTTCATCGGGAAAACTTGCCGGAAACCATCATTTTCGGACGTCGTGTGCCACTCGTCCAACACCATCCCTTCCCACTCAAACTAGTGCACACCGGACCCGTCATACAAGCACCCCTCAGGAAACCCAACAAGACCACGACCGGGTACCGGCTTGGCTTTTCGACGACCAGCACCCATCGGAACGTTCCGTAGAGCACCACCT